CCCCCAACCGGTGTTCCAGCCCCCGCGAGCGGAGGCAGTGACGGTCCTGGGCTCCCTCCTCTACCTCCCCCACCACGTGCCCGAGATCCCCGCGCTGGAGCCAGAGGCGACCGGCACTACACGCAGCGTCCAAGGGAACCAGCTCAAGGACCTTGTGCTCGACCTGCTGCTCAAGGCCGGCAAACGCGAGCCAGCCGGACTGGCCAGGTGAGACGCTGGGGGAGCTGACAACCTACTTACTTACTTACTTACTTACTTTTTCTTTTTCATCCTCTGTTGCCGTTAAGCGTCAAGGGGAAATGCATTTTTCTAAGCTCTGCAGCTCTTTCAGTTGTGATATTACGTAGCTGACAACCACTACGTGAACATTGTGCCAAGTAGATGAACTGACTCTTTGTACACAGAAGGCTATTCCTCCTTTCTGCTCAGCCAATTTTGTCTGTCAAGTTTTCAGCATCTCAAATTTCCTTAAAACTCCACTCCTTATTTGACTTATTCGCTTAAAGTAAACACATCTGAGCCTGTGTTTTTTAACTTGAGTTGAGCGCTATGTAAATGTCGTATATTATTATGATCGTTAAATGTTCGTAATTTCTTTGAGTTCGTGTCAGATGCAAGCCATTCAGAAAATGGTCGGCAACTGCATGTCTGTGCTGTGAACATCCTTGTACAGATGCAAGAACTTGTGTTTCTGTCTGTGTCCCCCCCCCCCCCCAGATGTGTAGCGGTGAGCAGCGTGGCCATCTTCCTGTACGGAGAACTCTCCCACGGCACCATGCACCCCAAGATGAAGGAGGCCATCAACGTGCTGCTGGGGGCGCTCATGGTATGACATGTTGATATTACAGTCGAACCTGTGTAAGACGGCCACCCATTGTCTAGGAGAAAAGTGGCCGTATAAGACAGGTGGCCGTCTTAGGCAGGACTGATCAAGATGAAGAAAACAAACCATTCCCATCTGAGGTCCCAATCGAAAGTAGCCGCATTGTTGTTGTTTTTTATGTTGTTGTTGTTGTTGTTGGTTTGTATTTTGTTTGTAATTTTTATTTTGTTGCTTTTTTTGCACAAGGGTGACAATAAAACGAAATGTATCAGATGAGGAAGATCGAATGCAGTGTTAAAACAAACACATGGGTCGCCACCACTCCGAGAACGAGCGACGCTTCTGTCACAAGTTCATGTTGACACCCTTTGTTACTTTGTTACAGACTGGGTAAACAGTGACCACTCACCTCACTTACGATTTGTGTATGAGTTCTGGGCAGGGCTTATGGGTTATGAGGGATCACACGCTTACCTCACCAGCAGCTGAAAATTGGTAGCCATTGGTCAACAATGGGAGGGGCCTACGCAACATGATCGGTTGGAGGGACAACCTTACAACAACGACAGGTGATTGGATTATGACGGCTCGCCCACAACGCCAGGGGCCAATGCACAATTTATGACAAAACGTAATGGGGTCACTAAGGTGGCCGTCTAAGACAGGTGTTATTGTTTAGTGTGACAGGGGTTGTGTGTTAAAATATGGTGGCCGCGTTGGACAGGTGCCCGTTTTACACAGTTAAATTATATCGAAAAAATGCAAGGGGGGAAATGGAAAGTGGCCGTTTGTACAGGTGGCCATCTTATAGAGGTGGCCGTCATGGCAGGTTTGATTGTATTATGTTTGTGGCCTGTGTCCTTGATATGTCACTTGTCCAGGTAGCGTGACATGCTGTGTGGTACAAACTGGTTTCGAAATTCAGGTTTCTTGCAGTAAAAAATAAACATGCAGGAAAACAATTCACTTGTGAAATTCAGATCTCTTTTAGTTAAAATAATTATTGTAGTAGAAAACAATTCTAGCAATGAAAAATTAATTTTTCGAGAAGAAACGATGTATTTTTCAGCAGGATAATTGGAATAGAATCATTGCATGGATATTTGAGCCCCCGGGGTAGTGAGCCCCCGGGGTAGTGAGCCCCCCGGGGTAGTGCCACTGACTGAAGTGTCTTTAGGCCATTCCAAAGGGGGGACATTTCTTGTTCAAGCATAGTAGAATTGTAAATGGGCTGACTCATGTCACGCTCATAACTGCCTGATCTACAACAGGGAACTGCTGCTTTTTCTTTCCTGATCCTTACTATTGTCATTTTCCTCTACTTCTTTTGTATGTTTGTCACTCTCCTGTGACCTGCTATTTTTGGGGTGCCTTGATAGTCGAAGCAGAGTTTGTGCTGTTGAAGCTAGAGAGGTGAGCAGAGTAAGTCTGATTCCGTGTAAAGATTTCTCTGTTGACATTCACCCCTTGGCGCTCATTTGACCTTATGTAGTTGCGAGCTCCGTAAAACCCTCTACTATTTTTTTTAAAAAAAAAGAAGAATATTTGTCCATTCCTCAAACAGATATAATTATTCTTGCCATTTGTCAGTCGTTTTTCAAAGTGTGCCTGGTCCTCATCTGTTTCTCCGTGTGTCCCCAGTCGGTGAACAAGAAAGTTGCCAAGGTTGCCTCGGACATGCTCCTCCTCCTGTGCGACCACGTGGACAAACTCCTCGACTACCACCCGCAGATGCCCAAGAAAATCACAGAGGTGAGCAACTACTCTCTCAATGCTAAAAGCAGAGGTGCTGATTTTCCAGATAAAATTTCTGATCTTATCCAGATTTTGTCACACACACATTTATTTATATTTTAGTCTCTTTTTGCATGTCGTAATGCATTTTAATTTTATATAAAAATTGTTTCAATACAAGATGCATATGACAATATATTTAGGATATTATCCTGATTTTGTAACACACATTTATTTATATTTTAGTCTCTTTTTGCTTGTCATAATGTATTTTATATGAACATTTTCAATACAAGATGCATAAGACAGCATGATCCATAAATTTTGAGTCCCCCTTGCAGATTTCCAAGGGGTCCAAAACGTTCAGAATTTTTTTTTCTTAATCATTTTGCACATCGGAGTTCTCTGTGTCGTTTTTATCACTTTTTACTAAGGGTAGTGAGACTGATAGCTCTATTCCCAAGGCACATAAATGATCTACTTGTGTTGCAAGTTGCCCGACATAAAAAATAATAATCTATGGTTATATTTTGTGATTATTTGTGTACATTGTCATGTGTAGAGTTCAGCCGAGTTTTGTCTGATCCTCCAGGCGGTGGCGTCCACCATATCAGCTCTGATCCCGTCGCACGGGGCAAGCAACTCTGACGAGGAGAAGAGGGTGAGTTCAAGTGTTCGTGGAGAATGGTGGGGGCTGTAATGATGTTCACAATGTTAGCTTAAGTTTTTTTTGGTGTGGACCACACAGTGGTACATGAGTTGGCAGATTCAGTCTGCATGGTTTATTTTGTGTCGGGGAGGGGGTGGAATGTGTACAATGTTTTTTTTCCTTAAAGGCAGTGTCCAGTAAGCGTTTAAATTTCTGTAACATGCTCATATGTGTTTGTTATGTGTTTTTTTTCTACACTTATCTAGTGGGATTTTGGAGTATGGGACCTATTAAGGTAAACACATGCCTGAAAAATGTGTGCTTTTAGTTCAAGGATATTGTCAATGTTCTGTATTCTGTTACTTGAAAGTGTTGGACATGTTTTTGTGTTGTCAAAGAGTTTGTGGGCGGGTGCTCTGGTGTACTTTGCTCCTCCTCCTTCCCTATCAAACATCTGTTGTCCCTATCTCTCCTCTTTCTTTTCTTTGTGTGTTACTTTCTAGTAGCACCTCTAATCTTTGGCACTTACAGGACCTAATCGTGTTGCAAGTGCCGTATAATCTTACTAAAACTAAACTGAAAGAGTTGAACATGTTTAATGTTAATCTTGTGACATATCTCTGTGTTGTGAAAATGAACATGTTTATCTTGTGACATATCTCTGTGTTGTGAAAATGAACATGTTTATCTTGTGGCATATCTCTGTGTTGTGAAAATGAACATGTTTATCTTGTGGCATATCTCTGTGTTGTGAAAATGATGAACATGTGTGCATGTTGACTGTTCCAGCTGATGGTGTCCATGATGTTCTGTATGGTGGAGATATGTGTTTATGTTGTGAAAGAGTTGGACGTGTTTCTGTCTTTCTTCTCCCAGCTGATTGTGTCGATGATGTTCTGTATGGTGGAGTGGTGCCTCAAGATGCCCATGCCCCTCCTCATGGAGACCACGGACACAGACAAGAGCTGCATCTACAAAGTGTTCAGGGTAAGGACCAGGATCTTCTCCTCACCTTCCTCTGCCCAGCAGCTGAGCCAGACTTTTCCCTGTGAGATAACACCTGAAGAACAGTTTTCCCTCCCCGTATCGCTCTTCACGTTTTGCAAAGTTATTATTTTCTCATCTCCATAGCAACAGGTTCCTTATGTGGACCGATTACCTGTAAGTTCATCTCTGAACAGGTGGTTGGCGGGTGCTCTGGTGAGGTTGCTCCTTCTTTCCTATCCTACATCTGTAGTCCTTATCTTCCCCATAGGTTTACTTGTTTGTTACTCTCCTGTAACACCTCTCGTCTTCAGCACTTATATGGCCTAGGTGCTGGAAAACTTTGACTAAAACTCAAACTCCTCCCTAGGTTCTACACTCTGGTGTATAGTTATCTCATCTCCATAGCAACAGGTTCCTAGTGCAGACAGACTGTACCTATAACTTTGTTCTCCCTCCCTTCAGGTCCTCCACTCAGCAGTGACCGGCCACAGCTCCTCCTCCCTCACTAGTGTAGACAGACTGTACCTATAACTTTATAACTTCGTTCTCCTTCCTCAGGTCCTCCACTCAGCAGTGACCGGCCACAGCTCCTCCTCCCTCACTGGTGTAGACAGACTGTACCTATAACTTTATAACTTCATTCTCCCCCCAGGTCCTCCACTCAGCAGTGACCGGCCACAGCTCCTCCTCCCTCACGCGGGTCAGCAAGTCTCTCTCCGACTTCCTCCTGGACACAGACTTCACCAACATCTGGGACACTCAGAGCGGCTCGCTCACCCCCCAGCCCGGCCCCTCCTCGGCCTCCCAGCGCCCGTTCAGCGCCGACGCCACGCTGGCAGACGCGGCCACCGATCAGACGCGCCCGTCCTTGGCCTCGCAACACTCGGAGACGGGCCGCAAGCCGGAGACAGACATCGTGAAACTGGCAGCTAGGGCTGTGAGTTCAGTGGCGTAGTTGTGTTGTGTTGTGTTGGACGTATTGTCTACAAGTTGTTCAAGAATATGTTTTACTGTCTTTGGAATTCAGCAGCTAGGGCTGTGAGTTCAGTGGCCTACTTGTGTTGTGTTTGACGTGTCATAGGAATGTGAAATTGGCAGCTAGGGCTGTGAGTTCAGTGGTTTGGTTTTGTTGTGTTTTGTTTGACGTATTCTCAACAAGCTGTTCAACATTTGACAATGTCTGTCATACGAATTCAGAATTTTTATAGCTAGGGCTGTGAGTTCAGTGCGATCATTTTTGTTCTGTTGTGTTTGGCGCACTGTCTTCAAGCTGTTCAACTGTTTGACAAGATGTTTTATTGTCTAAGGAGTTCAGAGTTGTCACAGCTTGGGCTGTGAGTTGGCTGCAATGGTTTTCTTTTGTGCCCCATACATTTTATTGCCTTAGGAGCCGAGAGTTCTCACAGTTAGGGCTTGGAGATAGCTTCAGTGTCTTTGTTTTGTTTGATGTGAATTTTGCCACAATGAGAACCGAGAGGTTTGGCAGATAGGATTGTGAGTTTACCACAGCATCTTTCTTTTCTTTGATTTGTTATTCTGACATAACAAAAATAAATGATTGTCCTTTCTTTTCTTTGTATGTTACTCTCTAGCACCACAGCTAATCTTTCCTCATCCTTACTATCGTCATTGTTCCTCAACTTCTTTTGTATGTTTGTCACTCTCTTGTGAACTGCTATTTCCGAGGTGCCTTTATAGTCGAAGCAGACTTTGTGCTGTTGAGGCAAGAGAGGGGAGCAGAGTAAGTCTGATTCCGCGTTTGGACTTCTCTGTTGACGTCCACCCCTTGGCGCTCATTTGACCTTATGAAGTTGCGAGCTCCGTAAAACCTCTACTAAAACAAACAAAAATAATCTGTGGCACTTATAAGACCTGTTTGTATTTCAAGCACCATCATAAAGCTGTCTACAACTTAACACCCCCCCCCACCCCCCACCCCCCCGCACGGTGTGTCTGTGTTTTCCCCAGCTGATGTCCCACCTGGTACACCACATGTCCCACTTCCCCATGGGCTCGGGCGCGGCGCGGCTCCACACGCTGGTCCAGGAGCACCACGACCTGCCCGACTACCTGGAGGACGACCTACGGCCAGAGATATTCCAGGCTCCCAATGTACAGGTATGTCAGTGTACAGGTATGTCAGTGTACAGGTATGTCAGTGTACAGGTGTGTACATAGAACACAGATATTCCAGGCTCCCAATGTACAGGTATGTCAGTGTACAGGTGTGTACATAGAACACAGATATTCCAGGCTCCCAATGTACAGGTATGTACTGTTACTGTACAGGTATGTCAGTGTACAGGTATGTACATCTCTCTCTTGTCCTTTTTACCTCCCAGTGGAGCACAGGCCATCAACAACAGCCATCCAGCGAAGCCTGTCCTGTGCATCCTTTTCTATCTGTTTCCATGATGTCCCCGCCTTTTCCATTTCTGCTTGTACTGCTCTCCTCCATGTCGTCTTTGGTCTTCCTTTCTTGCGTTTTCCTTGTGGATTCCACGTCAAAACCTGTCTGATGATGCTTGTCGGGGGTCTCCTCAGGGTGTGTCCAATCCATTTCCATTTCTTCACCTGTAGGTCTTCCTTTACTGTACATAGTACTCAGATATTCCAAGCTCCCAGTGTACAGGTGTATACTGTTAGTGTACAGGTATGTCAGTGTACAGTTGTGTACATGTTACACAGATATTCCAAGCTCCCAGTGTACAGGTGTATACTGTTAGTGTACAGGTATGTCAGTGTACAGTTGTGTACATGTTACACAGATATTCCAGGCTCCCAATGTACAGGTGTGTACTGTATTTTGGTTACATGACTGTCTTGCTTATTTATGTGGGTCTGACTGCTGGTTATAAATAAATATGGTTGAAGATTCGGTTTCTTTGGTTTTTAACCTTATCTGTACGCCCTGGGGTCATTTTGTACCCCAGGGGTTGTATTCTTTACATTTTAAAATACTTCTAGTGCGAAGATCTCTTTGAAACTTTCAGTGTTTCTCAAAAAATCATTTTGACAGACTGCTATGCAAAGCGTACGGATCGGATTAACAAATAAATTTCCTCTTTGGAAAGTGGTGGCACAGAGTTCCCCACGTCGTATGGATATGATAGTTAAACCTGACGTATGGATAGGGTTAAGGCACAAAAGCGTCATTGAAAAATAGCAAGCTTTTAGAACAGATTCAATGTGAAGATATTTCTAGTACATTTCCTTTGGGTTGATGCAAGGGTTCTGTGTCAGGCAATTCTGTCCTGGGATATTTTGAGCTCTTGTGTGCAGATGCGCAGTTTTTTTTTAGCTGAATATTTGTTTTAAAGATTTTCTGTTTTTCTCTTCCTCAGTTTTTTGTTTTAAATCACCGATGCCTGATCTCATTCATCGAACTACCAGCTGTGGTAAGTCATACAATAATGATGATAATAATTGATGATAATGATGATAATAATTGCATTTATGTAGTGCATATCCATGCCCTACAGCATGCTCTATGCACGTCACAACTATTATTATTATTCAATCAGACCTGAGAACACTCACAAACATTCTCCACTTTCCAGAAAATATACATTGCAAGTTGTCAAACGTCACTTGCATTTTTATGAATTTTTTGTTTTGCTAGTGACATAAAACTCTCGCACTAAAACTGAACAACTAAAGCGTGTAGTGGGTGGTTGGCGGGTGGTCTGGTGTAGTTTGCTTTTTCTTTCCTATCAGACATCTATCTTCTTTATCTCCCCTTCTTCTTTTTTATGTTTGTTACTCTCTTTTAACACCTCTAATCTTCGGCCCGCATATATGACCTTATTGTGTTGCAAATGCCGTAAAACTCTTACTAAAACTTTTTGTACGTGCAGGATGCGCCCGGTGGCGGTGTGACGGCCGGCCTGATGACCGCTCGGACGGTGTGTCGCATCATCGTGCGCGACCTGTGTGGAAAATACTGCTGGGAGAACTCTGTGCTGTACAGCCCTCCGTGGTGTACCAAGGGATCCTCTAGACACAGTGAGTGTGTGTGTGTGTGT